ATTTCAGGGGGGGTGGGCAGAGCCCCCCCCTCCCCCTATAGCAGGGCAGGGTACAGACCTGAGCTGCACTGTGGGCCCTAAGAATGCTAGAAGATGCTTGTCTCAACCAAGGCATCCGTAGCCATTCTCCTCTTACAAAAGAACACCTGTAGTTCTAATTGCTCGGTTGTATGCAGCTTGTACACTGTAACCAGCACAAATGATCAACAGCTACTCTGCAGTTCTCGCTTAGCCGGATCCACGCTGGTGGAGGAAACGGTAAACTTTGTATTAAATCTAGCCTTTCTAAAATGGCCAACTTGCAAGCCAAAAGTAGTCCTGCTCTTGGTATCAGATATCAAGCTTATATCAAATTAAACGGATTATATGTCGCTCAAGATTCAGTGCCTTGTTTTGTGCGTGTCAATTAGGGCTGCCAGGTCCCCCGGCAACTGGCAGGGGATCGGGGAGTAGAGTTGCCAGACCCAGGTTGGGAAACTCCTGGAGATTTGGGGGTGGAGCCTGGGGAAGACAGAGACCCCAGTGGGATACAGTGCCGTAGAGTCCACCCTCCAAAGCATCTGTTTCTCCGGGGGCGCTGATCTCTGTCGTCTGGAGATGAGCTGCAATTCCAGGTGATCTCCAGGTCCCACCTGGAGGCTGGCATCCCTAGTCAACATAAGGAAGTTAATCACTTCCCTCGTGAAGAATAATAGTATCTCAGCAGGCACCCAGCCTGGCAATATCCCAGGGCAAGGAAAGAATCAGAGGCAAGCAAGGTTTATTCGGGGGCACCAGAATGTAAAGTCAAGCCTATGAACGAACAAACCACAGAATTAGCAAACTAACAACTAAAACTCTAACTGAGCCGGAAAATGGAAAGGGCGGGGAGGGCGGGGTAAAAAATCAAAGAAATACATAAATAATTTTTTGAATTTTAACTGCAACCCCCAAACAGAAAAGAAATAGATAATATAACAAGGGTGGTGGCAAGTCTACACATAGGTATCTATAAAAGGTCTCTGACTGTCCTGGGATATGTCCATACACAATTGCTGTCTATATGCTATGCGCGTAGGGTTGCCAGCTCCGGGTTCAGAAGTACCCGGAGATTTGAGGCTGCAGCCTGGGAGGGTGGGGTTTAGAGAGGGGAGGGGCCTCAGCAGGGTCCGCCCTCCAAAGCAGGGGTCCAGGAGAAGTGGAGTGATTTGTCTGGTTAATTCCGATAACGAACGAGACTCTGGCATGCTAACTAGTTATGCGACCCCCGAGTGGTCGGCGTCCAACTTCTTAGAGGGCGTTCAGCCGCCCAAGATTGAGCAATAACAGGCCTGTGATGTCCTTAGAGGTCCAGGAGAAGTTGGATGCCTGTTTTAAATAAATAAATAATAGACAAGCAATTTATGGAGTCGGGAGATCGACTGTAATTCCGGGAGATCTCCAGTCCCCAGCTGGAGTCTGGCAAGCCTACACCCATTCAAATATTCGTCCTTAAGTCCCATCAGGCTGGAGCTGAAAATGGAAAGATACTGATTTAAATGTTCGGCACTTCACGTATCGAATGGCACATCGGAAAGCATTTCCCCACTACACAAGTTCAGTTGCATTGGGGTATCTTGACCAAAGCGACTGCTGCGGACTCCAGTCCCCAGCTGTAGTCTGGCAATCCTACGCGCATTCAAATATCCGTAAGGTTGTAAGGTCCTCAAGTCCCATCAGGCTGGAGCTGAAAATGGAAATATACTGATTTAAACGTTCGGTACTTCACGTATCGAATGGCACACCAGAAAGCATTTCCCCACTACACGAGTTCAGTTGCGTTTGGGGTATATTGACACCGAGGCGGCACGCTCTCCAAAGCGACTGCTGCTAAACCAACCTGCATAGTTCAACGTTCTGCCAGTTGGCTGTGGAAGAACATGATCGAGATTCCTATCCTGTGTGGTCACCAGGAGCATAAGCCTCCTAATCGTTCAGGATGTAGCGTGAATATGTAGCTTTCGGCATCCAAAGCGCTGCACGTTCATAATTGCTGCAGTTTTTACAACAGTCCGGTGAGGTAGGCCAGTATTACAATCCCTGTAATGCAGACAGGGACCGAGGCTGACCTTGAACAAACGTATGGCAAGTTTGTGCTGAGAGGAGATTTGTCCTCCCGGTGCTCTGGATCTCAGTCCGTTCACACAGCCACTAAGGTTCCAAGAGCAAACCCGCACACTCGGCGATCCTTCCCCCACTGTATCACTGACGATTTCATAAATCTTAAAGTATGTCCCCCTTTAGCCGTCATCTTTCCCCCTAAATGATAAATCCCCCCAAATTCTTTAGTCTGTTCTTCCAAAGGAGAATAGTTCACCGCCACCCCACAGCTAGAAGAACACACAATATTCTAAATGTGAGCGCACGGCAGACTTATATAACGGCACTACGATGCTTCTTTAAAACATATCTACATATATATATATCCAGTCCCTTCCTAATAATTCCTAGCATTGTCTTTGCCTTTCCCCCCCATGGCTGCAGAACACCGATTTGACATTTCCAGCGAGCTGTTTTCATTTGACCCTGGGATTTCTTTCCTAAATGGTTACAGCCAATTCAGAGCCCATCAGCATAAGATGTGTGCGGCCTGGGGATTAGCGGTCCCCCGTGTGCCTTCATTTGCATTATCAACAGAGCGGCTCATCTGTCATCTTGTTGCTCACTCATCCGGGACGGAAAGAGTCATCTGGAGCTCTTGGCAATCTGTTTCCATGTTACCATCTTGGGATGAGGAGGTGTCAGTTCTCTTTCCTCCCTCCCCTCCACATGTCCTTCTGCCAATCCACCCCAGTTTCCTGCTGTCTCCCCATTCCTCTCTAGGAACATAAGAGACGCCAATGTTGGATCAGGCCAAAGGCCCATCTCGTCCAACACTCTGTGTCACACAGTGGCCAGAAATACCAGGTGCCATCAGGAGGTCCACCAGTGGGGCCAGGACATTAGAAGCCCTCCTACTGTTGACCCCCCCCCCAAGCACCAAGAAGACAGAGCATCACTTGCCCCAGAGCCCCTATCTATACCTTGTGGCTAATAGCCACTGATGGACCTCTGCTCTCTGTTTTCTTAAGTCTGTTCTTCCAAAGGAGAATACCGTGTTTCCCCGAAAATAAGACACTGTCTTATATTTATTTTTTCTCAAGAAGACACACTAGGGCTTATACCACAAATGCATAGAAATCCTGCTAGGTCTTATTTTTGGGGTAGGTCTTATTTTCGGGGAAACAGGGTAGTTCACCGCCACCCCACAGCTAGAAGAACACACAATATTCTAAATGTGAGCGCACGGCAGACTTCTATAACGGCACTACGATAACGGCACTATATAACCACTCTCTGTTTTCTAACTTTGTGGGGTGTTCTGTCCTCTGTCTCTAACAAACTCCTGTAAACCTATCAAACCTCACAGGGCCCAGATGAGTCAAAGGGAAGGGAGCAAGTTTAGAATCTTCAGAAATAAATTGGGTCAGGGAAGGAACAGCAAAGTCCAGGCCCTTCATGGCCCCCCTTTTTCAAATGCCTCCCCCCCCACAACTCCGATGGAGGAGGAGGAGGAGGAGACTGGGACTGATTCCGCAAAAGCAGTTGTTCCGCCCTCGGTCTCCCGCTTCCCCCCAGTTGTACTGCTCAATTTCCCACTATTTGCTGCACGGCCGCATTTTGATCTTCAGTACCCGAAGGAGTCTCAGAGCGGCTTACCATCTCCTTCCCCTTCCTCTCCCCACAACAGACACCCTGTGAGGTAGGTCGGGCTGAGAGAGCTCTCCAGAGAACTGCCCTTGAGATAATGGCTCTGGGAGAACGTGCAAATGACCTAGGGTTGCCAAGTCGATCTTCTGCCGGAGTGGTGTGTGTGCGCG